AAGCTCACACAGTAATTTTATTTTAACAGGGAAATTTTAACATAAAGAATTATAAAAAAAATCGTGATAAACTGGAATACTGACAGATTGGATAGAAGTAAGTGAAGAACTCTAAGGAATATAGGAATAACCAAAATAAGAAACAACCACAAAACACAGGGAATAGAGTACTCAAGAATACGCATTCCCTCCTGAAGCTGAGATAGAGCACTCAAGGTGTTGGGACCACTGCTGAATCCAACTGTCTGATAAAGAATCCCCAGGAGGCAGATTTTGAGATGAAGATTAGGATGCAGAATACTTATTAAGGAGTACCTTCTGGGTAAAATTTGTATAGGCAAGAGAAGGAAAGAGTAGGACTAGGCAGAGAAAAAGTTTACTTTGTGATGCATTACTGATGACTGCTAAATGGATTTTTGAAGCTAGAACTGTCCAAATTTGGGCTGAGATGGCAGGCTGTTTTAGTTCTGTGAGCAGTCAGTGGATGAAGGTAGCTCCAAGAAGAAGTTGGCCTTGAGCCAGGAAACTCTGTAGTTAAGAAAAATCCCTGAAATGCCAATGTTTCTCATTATTGTAATCTGGCCATTGCACATTCATAACTTTGTGATTTCTTTCTTACATGTGTATTCAGGAGCTTTCACAATAGACTTTAGCACAATTGCTACAAATCTGAAAGAACAAAAATGTCACTCAACCACCTATTTGATAAAGCTATTTCTTGTATTTGTTTAGTGGAATACTATTCAATAATGAAAATAAATAAATGATAGCTAATGCTTGGAAACTACATAAAATGTATAAACAATATTGAGCTAAAGATACCTAATAGAATAGAAAGCACACAGTATGTTTTTGTTTATATAAATTTCAAAATCAAATAATAATTATATATTTAAGGGATATACATCAGTAGCTTAATACATTCAGGAAGAGCAAGGGATAGAAAAACTAAAAGTTCAGATTAGTGATGATGTTTTAAGAAGCCATTAGGAGGACTGGGATTAGAAATAGATATTCAGGGGATTCATGGAAGGGGTAGGCTCTAATTCTTCTTCTTCTTTATCTTTTTGGTTTTTGAGGAAAAAAAATATTTTAGACTCAAGTCCATTTTATTAATCATATGTTTCTATAACCTCTTTACACTCAAGCAGTTTTTACAGTTAAATTTCACATTGAAGATAAACACTATTTGGCTTAGGGAACAGAAAGCTGAGTCACTTGCATCCTTCATATCAGATACTATATTTTCAACAGTCTCTAGTAGGCTCTAATTCTTGACCGGAATACTGGTGATTTGCCTTGGTCCATAGTTTTATTATGAACAATTATATGTCCCTAAATTGAATAACCTAGAAAAAATGAATAAATTCCTTGACCCATTCAACTTATAACATTAAATTATGAAGAAACAGGCAAGGTAAACAGAGCAATAAGCAGTTAGGGGATAGAATCAGTGATAAAATGTCTCCCACCAAAGAAAGGCCCAGGACCTGATGGCTTCACTGCTGAGTTCTGTAAAACATTTTAAAATATAAATTCTTCTCTAACTTATCTAAAAAACTGAAAGGAACACCTTCAAACTCATTTTAGAAGGACAGGATTACCCTGACACAGAGCCAGATGCAGGAGGAGGAAGAGGAGACGGAGAAGGAGGAGGAGGAGGAGAAGGAGGGCAGAGGGAAGGGGAAGGGGAGCAGAGGGAGGGGGAAGAGGGGGAAAGAAGAAGACAAAAACAACTGTTTTAGGCCCATTTCCCAGATGAACAGAGACACAAAAATCTTCAACAAAATAATAGGAAGCTAAATTGAACAGCACATTAAAGATCATTCAAGCCCCACGTGGTGGTGAATGCTGTTAATTCCAGAGACTTGGGAGACTGAGGCTGGAGAATTGAAAATTCCAGGCCAGGCTCAGTGACTTAGAGAGGACTCAAAATAAAAAAAATAAATAAATAAAAAAGAGGGAGAGCTCCTGATGCATCTGAGTGGTAAAGCACCCCTGAGTTCAATCTCCAGTATATAAAAAAAAAAAAAAAATCATTCACCAACCTCTATTCAACATAGTTCTGGAAATGCTAACCAGAGAAATTAGGCAAAAGAAGGAAACAAGAGACATCCATATATGAAATGCAGTTAAATTGACTCTGTTTCATAAGTTGAATTGATTGTGTCCAATAGAGGTAACCTTTCTTTTTTTATGAGAATAAAATATTTTATTTAATGCTATAACTACAGCTGCCTAACAAAAYAAATATTTGTTAAATGAATAAATTAACAAATGGATGAAGGAATCTGGAGTTCTCAGAAAACCCAATTATGTTATTTTTTTCATATTAACCAATTAGGGGAAGGGTCTTTTAACATAATAATACAACAAAACTGTTCATGTGATGTTGCCAGGCAACAATGGATATCTGTGGCAGAACACAAGTAAACCTGGTAGTAAAATGTATCTTCTTACCTAAGAAACTGAAAACAGATTAGAAAATGTGGGGAAAAAATTCTTCTTCCTTTCCTTAACTATAATATAAGAAAAGTAAAACTGAGCTAATTGAAATGTAACATGTAGAAAGTGAATTTAAGACATTTTATTTGGGACGCCAGTTGTTCTCCCCTTCTGGTTGGCCATAAATGGCAACCCCAAATCCTCAAATTATAAGGTTATACAATTCAATCCTACATTTTTGGCCTCTTATTTCTATCTCCATCAAATTATGAAATTCTCTAATTATAAGTCCTTATTTCCTTTCCCTGTTTTTAATTTTAAAAATGAGCTTATTACAGAAATTTGGGTAAATCCCGAGCCTCTTGGAAGGGTAGATGATTAAGCTTATTATCCCAGATCCATGTGCTGAGCTCTGGATTTTCTCCTGCTGATGCTGAGACTGGATTCCAGGCCGTATTGTGATTGCTCACCAAAGCTGAATAACTTGGCCACTGACTTGGGTAGAAAAGAATGCCACAAAATGCAAGCTTGCTCAGACTGCTCTTGTGTAAGGTGAACTTTCAAGTTGGAGCATCTAGTGCTACAACCAGGTTCAATGCGTGCATTCTAGGTGTAAGGGAGCCTGAGGAAGTGGGCTTCTATATTCTCACTTGGGAGGTAGCAGTAGCAATGCAGAAATCCTCATAATTCAAAGACCCTTGGTAGTTGCATTGTATGCTTATCTTGAATAGAAAGTGAGTCAGTCAGGTTTTGGAAATCACACAAATTAGGGAATGTTTTATTTTCATAAAGAGAATTAGCAGAAATTTTATTTAGAGAAAACAACAAAACTTTTGGTATTTATTGGAAACAACAAACAAGTTTCACAGAGCACAATATTTTCCAAGTTAATTTGTATAGTTTGAATGACTATTGGTCTCAAGACAGACAATAATTACTGAAATGAATGAAAACATTAAAAATGTATCTATGAAAGTAATAGAGGGCAACAAAAATGTAAAGAGTGGCTCTTCTACTCAAATCATGTAGTAAAATCAATACAATATTATTTAATTTACTATATATATATATATATATATATATATATATGGAGAGAGAGAGAGAGAGAGAGAGAGAGAGAGAGAGAGAATTGAAAAAATAGAATGGAAATTGAAACTTATATACTTATTTTATAATTCAGTGGGCTTATTAAAATAATAGGTCAGAGAAAAAAATTTCAGAAAATTATGTTAAAATATTTCACTGGGGTGAAACTCAAAAAGAAACAAATATAATTTACATGTTATTGTTGTCTGTTTGAATGGCCTGAGAACAGAGGAGGTAAAATATCTAATTATGCATCATTTCTGATTTTGTCTTGATTACCTGGACTGGTTAAGCTTTGTTACCACAACATTAAAAGCTCATATTCAGCTTACTTCATATAAGGTTTGCATTTTAAAAATGGCCTGAGAATTTGAAAGAAAAAGGACCTGAGAAAATGATTTTGCCATCATAAACAGAATTGTAATAATTATAAATCTTTTCATAAAATAGGAAATGTGTAAAGCCAAAATGAATAATATGAAAAATAAGTATTATAAATATGTCTAATTTCTTGAGATATCACATATTTGAAAACAATTACAAAAGGTAAAATATTGTTATTATTTTAAAAATTCCCCACAATTTAAATGCTGTATCTGTATTTTTGTGATGCAGGCACCTGATATGACTTCAATCAGCTATTAGTTCTCTCTGAATATTTTTTGCATGAATTAACAAAATCATGTAAGACATAGAGTAGAAGTGACTTGGTCAAATATTGCTAATGGTAACATAAAATATCTAATATTTTTGGAAAGAAATATGGTCTCAAGAATACTGAACAATTTGTATTTGATTTGATTCCACAACACATACTTTGAAATTATGAAAACTTCAACTTTCAGCATTACTTATAAGAGTGAAAAATTGAAAATAACTAGTATATGTGAAAAAGATAAATGATTACTTGTATTTTCAGATGAGTTTAATTGATTATGATGCATTAAAGAAAATTAGCATAGTAAAACTATGTGGTTAAACATAGTAATGGCCTATAATTTTAAGCCAATATGCAAAATTGGTATATATGAAGATAAAAATTAAGGTGAATATTTAAACTTAAATAGATTAAAATGAAAATAGTTGACTTGTTTGGTGGGTGAAACTGTGGGTAAATATTATCACTTTTTATTCTTATTGTTGTAATATCATTTATACAAAAGTGTTTAAAACATGCTATGATTGTTAGTGTGTCTGTGTAAGTATGAGTTTGTGTGTATAGGTACTGGGATGAAAAGAGAAGTAGTGGGCCTATATTACAAGGTCATATGTGTTTACAATTTTTCTTAATTTAAAAAAAAATGATTTCAATGAATAAAATGTTCAGTAAATTAGGAAAAAAGTTTCTTCAATGATGGTGATTATATTACATAGTTTATCTACAGAAAGTAATGCTATTTCTCCATTAACTTCACAAATTGAGGGATCCAATTACCAAAAAGTTCCTTGCATATAATATTGAACAACTACTAACAACAGGACAAAAGTGTATTTTTCCCAGTGAATTTTCTGTCCAAAAGTAAGTTTCTTAGCGCACCCTTCATGGCCTCATTCCTCAGACTATAGATAATAGGGTTGAGTGTTGGGGGTATCACTGTGTAAAAGATAGATAMCATAASGTCAAATGCAGATGGRGAATCTGAAGTTGGTTTTAGATATGCACAGATGCCTGTAGAGAGAAAAAATGAGACAACAAAGAGGTGGGGCAGGCAGGTGGAGAATACCTTAGAGCGGCCTTCGGTAGAGGGTATTCTTAGAACTGTGGAGAATATGTGAACATAGGAGAGGGCAATGGAGACAAAGCAGGCTAA